CACCTTCTCAGAARCTGGTATTATGTGAGGTTTTGACACTTATGGAGATTTCGTCTAATCAAAAGTTATATTCTATGTGTGTTTTTGATGTTTTTATACTTGAAGGTGGCACGTCTTGGCAGATATTCTACTGATGAAGTGTTAAATCATATTTTGGAGCATTGTTTTCCTWCAGCTCTGTTTGGGTGCTTACCTTMTATGATTTTTACATGTGATGAACCAAGTATATATAAGCATGGGCTAACATAATGGCTTTTTCTCTTCTGTGACTAAGACATTATTTAGCTAGCAGCGAGGTTAGGCAAACGTAAGAAAACCCACGCCTGGAGAGGGGTGACGGGWAAGAGGGAAATCTATCTTGTGAGACGCATCGTGCAATGGGAATCAGTGTTGAGTTTGATCATGTGCGCACAACACTGCACCGCTATCTTCCTGATTCCATCTGAAACTCATTCCCTTTATCTGCTAAATGCAAATATGCCTCTACACAGTAGGGAGGGCAAAACATACTTGCTATTTTTTCCCCAAAGCGCACACACACAAGTGACACACGAGCGCACCTGCATTGTCTCTAATCTCTAATAGCATGCACGATTCCTCTTGACTTTGACAAGGAGATACACCCCCTTTAAATGCATTCAGCTGCGTGTGAATCTGAGTGTGTGTGAGTACATGTTGTCTCTATTTTCTATTTATAGTACCRCTGAGGTGCACAACAATCACTCCAATGTAACGAGTTAAATGGGGGAACAATGTATCTGTGTGTTTTAAATGTCCCCACACCACCAGTGTGTCAGACTTGAATGAAGTCTAGCAAACTCACTATCAGCAAAAGTTAATATAAGCCTGAATTGGTGTGTTTTTTATTTGAGTGCTTTATCAGGTAGAGATGTGCTGGAAAACTACTGTTACTCCATGCGGGGTTGTAGAAACATTTAGAAATAGAAAGAAATATGTGATTAATCCCTACATCTTGTAGCTTAGGCTACGCATTTCTACTCATAAAGATTAAGCATAAAGACAAGCACTAATGTTGTAAATCTATCTAAAATAATTTAAAAAATCTAAACTTAAGAAGCTGTTTGAATTGATGCACTAATGCTGAGACATTGTGATTTGCCAGTGTAATAACTAAATTATAGCAATATATATTGAAACAATTATACCAACTCTAAACATGGTACTAAATCCTTGTTATCTCTACCAAGCAGTGCTGCTAATGATCCTTATTCTATTTTTGCACTTTAGCTTTTTTGCATGGTTYACTATTAGGATTCTTTTTTTCAGTAAAACAGAGAGAGAAGTAATTAGAAAGATAGAAAGATTGAAATAGCAATTAGAAGCATATTAAATAGACACCAGCAAAACACAGGACCACACACCCAACATCTGYCCACTCACCTGAAAAATAAATGGATAAATACATGGAGGGCATATATAAATATATACACATACCTATACATACATATACATACATACATGCCTACATTTATAAATATTGTCAGTATATACACACAGACATATGTACACACTCAGTGACCAGTCAGAACCCCCCCCGGATCAGAGCACCTGTTTGTGAGCAGTTGTGAACATGCGTGTATATACAAGATTTCTCCAATGGAATATTTAATAGTGACTGTGGAGGAACGGAGACCCAACCCCCAAGACACAAGGCAGACATAGGGAAGACTCGACCCCAGCCCCATAGCTGGCCCACCACCCAGAGAAGCCACCGTTCCCCAGCAAGGACGACCYGGCCAAGAGCGCTCACCCAACCGCCAACAGAGCAAGGGGGCACCCAAGCAAAGGGGACAACCAGCCGGCCCAGCATGGCCCCCAGCCACCATCAAAGGCCACCAACTCAACCCCCACCCCAGAAGACATACTACACCCACCCCAACATCCGGGCCACTATCAGAACATATAACACAAGGACACCCAGGCTGGGTCGACCCCCCACCCTCCACTAGCTCCATGTCACGCCCCCAGCCAACCCTAGCCCCCAGCCCATGAGAACCGCAGACCACCAGCGCACCAGAGGCCCCCAGCCCAGAGCCGGGCACCAGGGCACACACCGGCCCAGGGCCCGGCAACCTGCCCGCCAGAGCCCAAGCCCCCCCGCCCCACCAGAGCCACAGCCCAGGGGCGGCACACCCCCAGAGTCCCAAGCCCCCCGCGCCCACCCCGGACCTGCCCCAGCACGGCCAGTCAACAGGACCAGTGACACATGACCGCCGCTACAAACTACCCGAGGGCCCACATGCAGCCAACCAGAAGACATCCCCCAGAA